AATGCATGGGAACACATGGTATGGGAGAGATGAATGAAAATGGTGAAAGACTAGCAGATCTATGTGCTACAATTGGACTAGTCATCGGAGGAAGCCTCTTCATGCATAGAAATATCCACAAGGCCACATGGATTTCACCAGATATGTCAACGGCTAACCAAATTGACCATTTCTGTATTTGCAATAAGTTTAGACGGTCGCTCCAAGATGTTAGGGTAAAAAGAGGGGCAGATGTAGCCTCAGACCATCATCTAATTATTGCCAAATTAAGGCTGAAACTGAAAAAGAACTGGACAAGCGAGGGAAGCAAGCGCCAACATTTTAACATCAACCTCTTGAAAGATGAGTCCAAGCTAAAGGAGTTTAAACTTACCATCTCCAATAAGTTCCAGATCTTACAGGAACTAGGCAATGAAGAAACAATTGACAAAAACTGGAAAGAAATCAAAGAGATATTCACGACTACCTGTGAAGAAGTGTTGGGCCCTAGGCAACAAACGCATAAAGAATGGATTTCGGCTGAAACCATGGAAAAAATCCAATATAGGAGAAAGAAGAAGGCAAATCTAAACAATAGCCGCACCAGAACCGAAAAGGCCAGAGCATCAACAGAATACTCAGAAGCAAATAAAGAAGTTAAACGTAGTATAAGGACAGATAAAAAGAACTACATAGAAGGATTAGCAAGTGAAGCAGAGGAGGCTGCGTACCATGGAAACACAAGAGAATTATTCAGTACAATCAAAAAGTTATCTGGAAAGTTCAACAATCCAGTGAGACCAGTTAAAACTAAAGATGGGAAATCAATACCTGATGAAGAGGGTCAGAAAAAAAGATGGATAGAACATTTTGAAGAACTCCTCAACCGGCCAGCACCACAACACACACTCAACATAGAGCCAGCGGAAAAAGATCTAGAAATAGAGTGCAGCACACCCACAAAGCAAGAAATATGCAGAGCAATTAAACAACTAAAGAAAGGCAAGGCGGCAGGTCCTGACAGAATACCGACAGAAGCCTTGACAGCAGATATTACGTCTAGCACTGAAATGCTACACACACTATTCAAGAAAATATGGGAGGAGGAACAGATACCGGCTGAATGGAAAGAAGGACACCTCGTTAAGCTCCCGAAGAAAGGAGACCTTAGTTCTTGTTCTAACTATAGGGGAATAACCCTGCTGTCGATCCCAAGCAAAGTATTCAACAGAATGCTGCTAAACAGAATGAGGGAGGCAATAGACATCAATCTTAGGGACCAACAAGCAGGGTTCAGAAAAGACAGATCCTGCACAGACCAGATTGCCACACTGAGAATTATTGTGGAACAATCTCTGGAGTGGAACTCGTCACTATACGTCAACTTCATTGACTATGAGAAGGCTTTTGACAGTGTCGACAGACAGACTCTGTGGAAGCTGCTTAGACACTACGGGGTACCACAAAAATTGACAGACATAATTAAGGCTTCTTACGAAGGACTATCGTGCAGAATTGTCCACGGCCAGCAAACAACGGCGGCTTTTGAGGTACAGACCGGTGTCAGACAGGGGTGTCTGCTCTCGCCTTTCCTATTCCTGCTGACCATTGATTGGATAATGAAAATGTCTACAGAGCAGAAGAGAAATGGTATTCAGTGGACACTATGGAAACAACTTGATGACCTGGATTTTGCGGATGATCTGGCCCTAGTATCACACACACAGCAACAGATGCAAGAGAAAACCAATTATGTAGCACAGTACTCTGCTTGCATCGGCCTGAACATCCACAGAGGAAAAAGCAAAGTCCTTAAAATAAATACATCAAGCAACACACCTATAGCACTGGAAGGAACAAACCTTGAGGAGGTGGATAGCTTTACATACCTCGGCAGCATCATTGACATACAAGGAGGGACAGACGCCGACATAAGAGTGAGAGTTGGTAAGGCAAGAGCGGCATTTAACCAGCTAAAAAAGGTCTGGAGCTGCAGCAATTTGACCCTCCAGACCAAGGTCAAGGTATTCAACACCACAGTGAAACCTGTCTTGCTATATGGGGCAGAAACATGGCGAACAACAGCAGCTGGTTCAAAAAAGCTACAGACCTTTATCAACTCATGTCTCCGAACGATTTTACGAATCCGCTGGCCCACCGTCATCACCAACGAGGATCTCTGGCGGCGCACACAACAAGAACCAGTGGAAGAGTTAATCTGCCAGCGCAGATGGAGATGGATTGGCCACACCCTCAGAAAGCCCGCATCAAGTATCACGAGACAAGCCCTGACTTGGAACCCCCAGGGTAAGAGAAAAAGAGGTCGACCCAAAACAACTTGGAGAAGGGAACTGGAGGCAGACATCAAAAAGAGTGGGCACAACTGGGGACAGTTGGAGAGACTTGCCCAAGACCGGGATGCCTGGAGAGCCTTTGTTTGTGGCCTATGCCCCAGACGGGACGACAGGCGATGATGATGATACATAAGACGCGCCCATACATAAGACGCGCCCATACATAAGACGCACCCATACATAAGACGCACCCATACATAAGACGCACCCATACATAAGACGCACACATACATAAGACGCACCCATACATAAGACGCACCCATACATAAGACGCACCCATACATAAGACGTACCCATACATAACACGCACCCATACATAAGACGCACCCATACATAAGACGCACCCATACATAAGACACACCCATACATAAGACGCGCCCATACATAAGACCCGCCCATACATAAGACGCACCCTGGGTGCTGGTACGTAAAACTTTGTTAAAGACAATTCTTATATACGCGAAAACACGGTCATGGCCGGCACTGCAAATCACACCTTCCCTTTGGCTGATTCTCACGAACAAAAGCCACAGAATGGTTTCATAAAGTGTGTATATGTTTAATTTTATTGTTGAATCTGTCTATTTTAAGTCGTTTTCTTTCGTCTCTGGACCATCCGTAAATGACGTCAAGCATCCATGGGAACATGATTCACGAATTTGTGACGATTTGTCATGATGGTGTCTAAATTTTGCGTCAGATTTGTGACGCTTTTTTGGGGTGTGGGGGGGGGGGGGTAAAATCGGCCAAAATTGTGTGACGTTATTTTGAAATGTCCCTTCTATACGTCTCCAACTTACCGGTAAACCCAACTGTCCAAGTTATTAAAAATCCTAACATTTCTTATTACTTGACAATCGCGCTTTTATAAATTATTGATAATCCTGTCTCATTCAAATTGATATGAATTATCAAAATCACAGCATTATTCAACTTAAAATAGTACCTTTTTTAAAAAATAAAAACAAGCTACTTAAGGTGTTTTTCCAGGGCCT